CCCATTAATAAAACTTGCTGTCTACAGAGGCTTATGGAAAAAGAAGGGACTGCTCCCAGCTTTCTCTGAAATACATTCAAAACAATATTGACTGAGTGCTAGAAAAGTATGCTTGCTTCTCTGGTACTCAGGAAGTTTATGTCTGATTTTAATTCCAAATGAGCACGCGCCATCAAACCCAGACATTCCAATCGACAACACAGGTTCCAGTGGTTGGAGGGAACAGGATGCAGTTTGACCCTTAGCTGCTGTTTTTCAGTAGCTAGAGCTTCTCTTATACTGCTTAACTTACTTCTTGAGACATACAAGTTCCTTGGAATTTCCATTGTCATAGATAGAACAAAAAGTAAGATAACTGACATTTGTGTAGTACTTTACACATCAGGAAAGAAGGAAGGTAGGAAGCCTCTTAATGTACACAACAGGTCTTAATTTAGGCTGCTGCACTTCCTTCTCCTCGAACGCATATGTAACTCACTGTCAATAACAATTAGTCAGTCTGATGGCTTCACTGTAGTTCAATATATGCTATGTACTGAACTGCTAGCTAGCTCCTTTTAAAGATGAACTCCATTTCCAGGAGAGGCAACATAAGAACCAAAAATGGCATATCATGTAAATATATGTTTAATTAAAGTTGTTCCTTTTTGATTGTGTGATGCCTGGTTTTAATTGTCGAGTTGCCTCAATCTAGAATCATTTGGGAAGAAGTTTCAATGAGGGATTGTCTAGATTCCGTTGATGAATGTACATGTCTGTGGGGAGTTTTCTTCATAACACTGAGATGGGAAGACCTGCCCACTGTGGGTGGCATGTTTCTCTAGGCAGAGAATTATGGATTATTGGAGAGTGAAGAAAATGAGCTGGACATTTGCATGCATGCATGATTTCTCTGCTCTTGACTGCAGATATTATGTGACTGGTGGCTTCACGTTTCTGCTGCTTTGACTCCCCCACAGTGATGGGCTATAACTTAGAATTGTGAACCACATAAATCCTTTCTCCCTTGAGTTGCTTTTGTTATGTTATTTTATCACAGCAACAGAAAGGAAAATAAGACAGGTTATTACTGGACTTGTAAGTCTGAAAATGATACACAACAGAACAAGATTTCACCTAGGCTTTTATATAGTTACTTATGATTTCTTAAATGAAATGGCCAAGTGTGGGGGGATAATAGTGTGGTCTTTTATGGGTGAACACAGTATGGATAGTGCTTAATACAGAGTTTGCCATACAGCTTTACATCTGACCTGGTCATCATTACCACTTTTCCCTGGGGGTTTGAATCTAGTATCATTAATTCTTAAATTCTACATGTAAATCCAACGTGAAAACAAGGAGGAAAACCATTAGTGTAGAGTCTGTGGTTCATGTTCTATACCACACACTGTTTTTAGCAATGATACCAATAACTGCCTTCCAGTGGCTCAGTGTTTAATAGCGCCTCAGGGATGCTTAAAGTAAGGACATAAAGCAAACAATAAAACATAGTTGGAAAGTTACACATAAAATAAGATTACAAAATGTTTATTATAAGCATTAAGTGACTATCACTGAAACATTTTGTAAGAACCAAAATCCATCAGAGCTTGCTAAGAACTGCCCTATTCTGTGTGAGTGTAAACTCAATTTTTTAAAAGGTACTCTTTTTATGCTAATAGAGAACTTCATATCATCAGTACAGTTAATAACTCTCAGATCATTAAAAGACATTTTATGAGCAAATTAGGTCAGTTATTAGAGTACCTTGCAATAAAAATTCCAATCATTTGGAATTACTAGGGGGAAGAAGTAGTGAATTCTTTGTATCAAATTTATACCAATAATCAATATTTATAGACTGCTCAGTTGACAAAGGCAAAACAAAGATACAAACCACAGTGAAATGTAAACAACTTTAAAATGCACATTTTGAGACTTCACCTTGAACCTGCCCTGTTTAATGTTATATATTTATGTTAATTATAGTGAACTTTACGGAATCCTCCATTTGGGGGGTAGTGGTGGAATAAAAGTTATTAGGAGAATGGTGAATCTAATCTCCCTTATTGAGTGAGTTTTACAAAACCCTCTAAAGTATCTTTTCTCTCTTTCCTTCCTTTTCCTATGTGAATTTCAACATACATTTTTCTACAATGCACTAGACCATGGGGCTAGGTGATTTACACACATTATCCACTTAGTGTTCATGTCAAATCAGCAAGATGGATATTATCCGTATTTTATAGACAGGAAACAGGTTTTGAAGGTTTTTAGTGAATTGCAAAATGTCATGAAGCTTTTAAATTACACAGTTGGAGCATGCTCAGATCTGCCTTGTTCCCAAGTGCATGCCATACTTCACTCTACAATTCTGTCTTCCTTTTATTTATTTCACCTCCTTCCTTCCACTTTCTTCTATCCAAAAGCCGTAAATGGTGAATGGGTCATAGCATTGGGCAGATTTTAAAGAATGGATCCAGCTCTTCCACCCCTCTCCTAAAGCTTTGCAGGATTCTCTAGTTCCCAGCACAGTCTCTCATCACCAGGATCTAAGAAAATGTAGGCTCCTTACAGCCTCATGCTGTATCTTTGCTTCCAATCTCCAGATGGCTTCAATGAATATGCTTTTCAAATCCCAAATAAGACCACTTGGCCCAAGATACTGTGTTTCCTCTACGAGAACTTGAGGACAACATACTTACACTCAAAACTTTTAAAGTATTTCTGGTGTCTAGAGAAAGAGCCTCAGAACTAGGCTGCCTCAATATGGACTTCTTGATTAAATAGTTGGAGGCTGATCACAGAATGATAACAATACACAAAGTTAGAGAAAGTAATTATCAGTGGAATTAAACAGGGTGGTCTTTCTGACAAGTCTTTTTGTCATAGTCTTAATGTAGGCTTCCTGAACTGTGTGGTTTATTAATCTGAAAGTAATTGTTTTGATACAAGGCTAAGGAGTCTAAGAGACAAGCTGTTAATTATGAGTTCTGATCTCAGGCTAGTAGATGCCTATGGAGATTAAAACTTGTTTCCCTTTTTCTAGCAATTAGCAGCCTAGCTAAAGAGAGGTCAGTTATAATTGGGGAAAGTAATAAATGTATTACTTACACGAGTCGCCATTCATAACCACTTATTTAATCCTTAAATTATGTAGGTTGTAAATTACTCATTAGAAGGCAGAAAGCAAAATAGTTGTAATCCATTTAGTGCTTCCAAAGTCTGAAGACTTACAGGAGGAAATCCATGAAAACAAGAGCCTGATATGTACTTTCACTGCTGTTTCTTAATAGGCAAAAAGTGGTTACAATAAGGAAAAGCCCACATAATTATCCATATGTGCTGGCCCATAGGTCAGGGGTGGACTTGATTAAATGCATAGAGAGCTGACCCACAATGGTGGGCCCCTTCTTTCTACTTAGCCCTGCCCTGCAGGCAGCTAATCAATGCACACACCTCGCTTCTGGATTGTTCCCTGAGACAAGAGTAACAGCCCGTAATATTCATTTAGGCATTCAGTCATATCTGTTGTTTTCTAATCAGTGCAGGGATTAGGACAAAGGGCCAAGTACCAGAGTGGACTTAGAAGGAGGAGGAATTAGAGGAGGCTGGCCCTGTGTTTATGGCAATGTGCTACCAACAATCTCACGCCCTTTATGTATGTGGAGAGGGAACAGTTCCCAACCACAAAATTTTCAACTGCAGAAACAACTAGACATTTCACAGATTTCATTATATGTATAGAAAACCACGCATATTTGACCTGAATATAGATTTTGTAAATGTAATGAGAACACACTTAACTGTTTACTAAGGAAAATGATTTGTTTTTGTTTTTTGTATATGAAGGATAAATGTCAGTATTAGATGTTTACTGGTAATGAGACAGTCATTTGGCGCTGGTTCTGTGTATGAGTTTTGAGAGTAGTTTAGAATCTGTGCCTATTTCCTTTTACCAACAATCTCATGCCCTTTATGTATATGAAACATAGATTCTGCTTCACTGTGAAGATGTAGACAACAGAACAGCTCCTGGCTCACCTTTCCATGAAATAAACATTTCTTTGGTATTTTCTGTTTTTTTCAACCAGACTAAAGCCAATGGGGTTAGGCTAGAAAATGGAGGAGTTTTATCCTTTGCAGATGTAACTGGACTACTTGCAGAGCAAATCTGTGATTTGGTAGTAGCAAACTGACTTACCTAACTCAAACTATTTTCATTCATTTTTTTGTGATATTTTCTGATTTAGTTTGTGATTTCATCAGGCCGGCACTCTATCTCTCTTCCTTTCAATGTTTACCAAGCTACTGCTGCTCAATGCATCATTATTGATAAAGAAAAAAATTTCAATTTTTTTTTTTAACAAAAAAAGCATAGTTTGGGGCTAGAGAGATGGCTCCGCGGTTAAGAGCACTGACTGCTCTTGCACAGGACTCAGGTTCAATTCCCAGCGCCTCTACGGCAGTGAACAACTGTTGGTAACTCCATTTCCAGGGAATCCGATGCCTTCTTCTGATCTCCGCGGGCATTACATGACATGAGTGCATGTACACACATGCAGGCAATACATTCATACACATAAAATAAAAATAATAAAAAAATATTTTTTAAACAGCACAGCTGTTCTGGTAATATATTGGCTAACTCTGTTAAAGTAATTATGAAACAAGTGTTACCTAGGTAGGTCATTTAAGCTTGGTACATAATAAAATGCCCTTTCCTTCCCACATCTTTCCTTTCATGTATTTCTACACTTCTGTGGTAGAAACTACTTCCTAAAGAATTTATAAGGCCATCATTACAAGAAGTACTGAGAACAAACCACTTTAGAAAATTGTTGAGATACCTTATGAAACGGTTTAAAAAGTTGAAAATAATTTAAAAATTATAGCTTGGTCTTTCTGTGGTACTTCCAAGAATGTGCCAGTTCTGGTCAACTTTGTGGAATCTCAAAATCATAAGTGGTCTTTCCCCATTTGGGGGTAAGAGGTACCTACACTTTCCTCTGACTTACCCTGAGTGGATTTTCATTAAGGTAAGGTGGTTCACCTTCTACCATTTCAATTGCCATGATTCCCAGAGACCAGATATCAACTTTTGGACCATAAGCTTTTCGAGTCACCACCTCAGGTGCCATCCAGTAGGGAGTTCCCACCATGGTGCTTCGTTTACTTTGCTCAGGAGTGATCTGGGCACAGAAGCCAAAATCAGCTGTAAGGAAGAAAGTCAATTAAAATTAGCCCAAAGTATTTGCTTCCTGCAATAGGTGACATTCTCATACGGATGAACTTTCCTTTAATGTTAAGCTGCATTCCCACAGTTGTCTAGCTCATATCCTTCTGTTACGTGATCTCTCAGCTGATCCTTATTTTAAAGGGATCTGAAAAAATGGACTATTGTGATGTCATTTTTAATACACATCAGTGTAGTCCCCCCCCCAATATTTTCTCCTATATTTACAGACTCTTTTCATTTTTGCAGTTAGTAATTTGCTATCCACCCATTCTGAATGCCACTAGAAATTCTGAAATATTAATTCCAAGACATATGGTCACAGTATATAAAAACGGGTTATCAGAGAAATTCTTCCATTAAAATAGAGCTCAAATTGCTTTCAGATAAATCAATCTCAGTAGCCATCTTATCTTCTCAAGACAGGCAGTAGTACATCAGAAATTCTCTGACATTTTCTTAAATAAGGTCTAAATCAAAATACCTACTCAATTTAACAGAACCATCCATCCCAAGGAGAATATTGTCACTCTTTATGTCTCTATGGATCACCTGGTTTGAGTGCAAGAAATCCAAAGCTTGGAGGCACTATAAAATCAGAGAAAAAAGTTCTAATTATATCACAAATAATTTTTTGATTTTACATCTCATTTATAGACACATTTTAGGAAAGGTTGTGATTTGACATTTTAAGTGAATTAGATTACTGAATGCTTTAACACCATTTTCAAACCACATTTACATCAGTGATCCTACCTAACCTTATATATTTATTTGATGGCTCCCATATTAGACTAAGCCACAAAGATGGATAATGCAGTTAAAGCACACTAGTCATTAATACAGGCCAACAGACCAATTAAAATAATCTGCTTTGGCCTAGTAATATAGAAGATATGGATTCAGCTTGGTTTTATATAGATGTTGTATAGTGGTAAAGTTTGATTCAGTAAGTCTAGAGTGGGAAATAGGAATGTGCATTTCAAACAAGTTCCTTAGGTTATTTCTGATGGACAGTCAACTTTGGGAATGGCTCCAAGCTATAGGTACTTGTTTGGAAATGTCTGTCTTATAATACTAAAAATTAGAAAGCATAGGCTCAGGGAAAATATTGTTCTAAGTGAATATAAATATGGTTTATGGCATGAAGGAAAAACATGGTTTTTGTTATGTATGCATGTTTAGGGCGCAGGGAAAAGTGAAAAATCAAAGAACTTTAAGAGAACCATTTAAAGTAGTAATTTATTTTATGTGTATGAGTGTATTGTGCAATGCCCTTGGAGGTCAGAAGGAGTCAGATCCCCTGGAACTGGAGTTACAGATGGTTGTTAGCCAGCATGTGGGGGCTGGGAACTGAAACCAGGTCCTGTGAAAGCATAGCCTGTACTCTTAACCTCTGATCCATGTCTCCAGTCTCACAAGAACAATTTAAATCCAAAAATTAGCTAACATCACTTAGTTTTGTTGTCCTATCATTGGTTTTCAAGTTTCTACTTCAGTTTTTAGAAAACTTCACCACAATAAGTTAGATAGATAAAAATGTTCAATATGAGAGTCTTTTGAAGAGTATATGTTTAAAGAAATATTGATCAAAATAATAGAATAAAACATCCTTAAATTAGCTAGGAACTAGAGGCACTAACTGCTATCCCTCTTCTAAATGACAGACCCTGATCCACTGGATGAATGTAAAGAATACTCACAGGGTACTGTGGAAACAATTGCTTTCTATGCCGAAGGAAGACAGTGTTTAAATTGCCTTCTAGAAAATGATAGGAATATAATGTAATCTGTATTTTATAGGACTCGTATTGAACATGCAGAACATCTTTTTAAAACTGTCTGAAACCAGAAAGAAGTTTCATGTGAATAACACAATAAACCATGTTCACCAACACTACCCCACATAAGCGTAGATAAAGGACTCCTTCAATACCATAATGGAACAGAAGATCCACAGAAAACCAAGGAAAGTCTGGCAAAGGTGGTGCAAGGACGTGCTGTTAAGTTATGGTTTAAATAGGTTTTCCAACTAGTTTGTTATTCAGGAGAAAAATATGTTATTGCTATTTTAATGCTTTAAACATTCTGAATAACCAGAAAGAAAGAACCGACAATTTTGATGTTTCTCAGCAAGAATCATTTTCTTTTCTTACCTCTCTGCAGACGGCTGCTATCTGTCCTTCATCCATACAGGTCTCTGTTACCACATCAGTCAAAGAGCCACCAGCCAAATATTCCATGACTACCCATAGTTCATCACCCACTAAGTAGCTAAAATAGGAAAAGAAAAGTACTTTGAAATTGGGACTAAGGAAGTGGAGACTCTAATATTCTTAAGCCTTAGTTGTGATAAAAATGGACGGTGAAGAGGGCCATGCTTATTGTCTTTAAGCAGTTATGAAAGCACAAACTCTAGTGCTCAAACATGGGGACGAAGGTCACTATAGCTTACACTTTATTCAAACCAAATAGCACCACCTGAAGACACTTCAGCAGTATTATCATGTCTCTATTCCCCATTATTAAACAAGAATGAGGAATTACAGAGAACAGTGACCCTAATGATTCCACCCTGCCTTAATTCCCACATCTCTAAGTCAGAGGGAGTGGCACACACCTGTAATTCCATCTACTTGGGAGAATGAAGCAGGAGCATTGGAATTTTAAAGTTAGCCTTGGTAACTTGGTAAGTTCCAGGCCAGGCTGAGCTAAGGGGAGACTAAATAACCAATTAAACATACACCCCCACCTTACTATAAAGCAAGATTTTGTATTCTGTGGTGCTCAAACAACAGTATTTGTTAGATTCACTTGGAAAGCCTTTTAAAACTGAAAATTCACAAATTCTGTTTCCATTAATTATGAGGACCAGCCCAGAAATCTACACTTTAAAAAGTATAAATGCAATTTTTTACAAAATTACAAATGCAGAAATCGAATCCAGGTCATGCTGTGCAGATTGTCCCTAAAGGACATTTTAGGAAACACTGATTAAAACTTTAAAATTCGATTGTCCTTTTATCTCCTAATTTTTCCTACTCATCACTGTCTGCTGGCCTAAAACAAAAACAGCAAGTCCTTATGGTCATAGAGGTTGAAGACCCAGCCTTAATTCCTCTGTATCGCCTGAGAGAACATGGCACAGTGGTGCTAAGCAAACACTTACTAAAGTTCGAAGAGACAGATGTTAACCACGAGAAAAGAGTTAGCACTGTCTTTAAGTGCCTATTTATAACACACAGTTATACTGCTGATGAAAGAGGCATTAATTACCTGCTTTAGGAAAAAGGTTTAACACTAAAGTCTCAATTCCTTGGACCTCACTGTCAGATAATAACAAATCATCCATTAAAGAAGGGCTGGGCTATTGTTGTCTGCCCGCTTCAGTTTCCCAGAGACTACACTGAGTGCAAACACACACTTGATGAAATGTATGAAACGCCACTCCTTTCTCCTATATGCAGTAGTCATTTTCCTGCCAAGATGGAGCCACAGTCCTCAAAAAGAAATCACACAAACTGCTTATGTTTAGAATTAGGTCCATAAAATAAATTTTCAAGTGTTTGATGGATGGGTAAAGATATGGGTGCAAGTTGAACAATCAATGTCACTCTGTATTTTTTTTGCACTGTTCTAGAAATATCTGTGGAATGACTATCAAATGAATTTTCCATAAATAATTTGACAAGTAAATTACATCCTATAAAAAATATGTAGATAAACACTTACCTATCTAAATAGTTAACAATATTGGGGTTCTTATTTTCCCTCATGACCAGGATTTCATTAATAATTAATTCTTTTTTGGGCTGTTGTTGAAGGTTCATCTGCTTTATGGCCACCTGAATGATGATTAAGATATAAGAATGAATTACAATTATTACAATAAGCATAATTATCAATGTACAAATTCTTCATCTACTATATTTTCTGTACTACTGACATGTGCTTTTTCTCTCTGGTAAATACCTAATAAACAATATCAACCTAGTGCTACCCACTAGCCATTCATGCTATCAACAAGAATACCTGAGAAACACAAAGGAAAATAATAAGAATTGAATGGGAGCACGTACCTCCTGTCCTGTTGCAATGTCTAGTGCTGTATAGACAGTACCTGATGCCCTGTAAAGATTAAATTTATCCAGTGAATAAGTAATCAAGGTGTTACCCTTGAATATATTTCCCTTGAAAAAAACATAATTCCTTTTCAGGAGAGTTAAGTTAGTAAGATGAAGATTAAATGATGAAGTAAAATAGTAGCCATCACCTAAAAGTTACTGTGGTAAGAACACTTAATTCTAGATCTACCCTCAGCAAATTTATAGGCGCACAATGGTGAAAGGACTGCCTTATATAGTAATTGCACCAGAAACAATCACAATGAATCCCTTGTGGTGGCCCAGGAACTCCCATCAGACTTTTTGGCACCAGTTCTTGGGATATGCATTAATTTAGCATAATGGCCTTGTTCTTAGGAAACTCTTGGTTATTTTTAATATTCCTTTTATTTTGCTACAATCAAGGTTGCAGTCCTCTGATGAAACTGAAATAAAGTTCAGAAAAGAATTCACAGTTTTACTTAAGCAATTGTAAAGCAATCATCACTTTCAGCATATGTACAGAGTAGATCTTTTTATGTTTCTAACCATAAGACTACCTTCATCTAATGACTTGGTCACTCTCAATGTCATACCAGTATTGTAGCTACATGAAGCATAACAATGTGCCTCTCCTATAGAGCCGCCATTCTATTTTTTTTTTTTTTTTTTTTTTTTTTTTCGTTTTTAAAGTATTTTATAAAGGCTGTATGGTTTTCACATATGACTCATGATCTATAGAAGATGTTGCCAAATTTCTCAAGAACAACAACTTCTGTGATTATTCACTCCAGTGAAAACTCTTTTAAAATCTATCATTTCTGGGGCTGGAGAGATAGTTCAGTGGTTAAGAGAACTGGCTGCTCTTGGAAAAGACCTGGGTTCATCAAATCCCAGCACCCACATGGCAGCTAACAGTCATCTATAACTCCAGTTCCAGGGAATCTGACACCCTCTTCTGTCCTTTGCAGGCATTGCCTGACTTGGGTGCATTTACATACATGCAACTATAAGTCTCATACGCAAAAAATAAAAATTTAAAAATCTATCATTCCTTAAGTCTTGGTAGCACCGATGTTTCCATTATAAATTTATTGCGTTATTCCTTGCTTTGCAAGTAGAAATGGTATAGTCCAGTTGAGTCTCCAGTATCTTTCTGTGAATAGCACCTGAACTCTGAAGCTCCTTCCTTCCCTATCTCAAGCAAAAGGGGTATCAGTTTCATTTGTGGTAAGTAAAGCATGGAGGATAGAATTCAGCCCTGCAATTCATTTACTAGATATTATAAAGCTCCAAATTTTAGTTTTCAAGTCCATGGATATTAATGTTCATTCTCATTCATCCTCTCTCTCTCTCTCTCTCTCTCTCTCTCTCTCTCTCTCTCCCTCTCCCTCTCCCTCCCTCCCTCCCTCCCTCTGTCCTTCTCCCCCTTCTCTCCTCACTTTGTAGCCTAAGGTTGTCTTGCAACTCCTTCTGTAGCCTTGCAGCGATCTCACTTCTTCAGTCTCCCAACTACTGGGATTACAGTTGTGAGCCACAATACCAGGCTCAGAAATTATTTTTTTGTGTCAGGCATTTCTTTGTAATTCTTTTCCTTGGATGAACTAAAATGTTTCCCGAAGGTCTAGGAATTTCATATTACCTACTCCCAGGGAAGAAAATAGTGTAGTATAAGTATTTGACTAGTGGTAGAGCTTTGAGTTCTAATATTTGCTCTACCATCACAAGCTATGCAACCTTGGACTAGTCATTTCCCTTAAGTGAATTTCAGTCTTCTCACACAGAAAAGAGAGATCACAATAACAGCAAACACATATTGCATGTGTTGTGTGTGTCAGATACTGAGCTAAGAACTTTATATAAGTGATTTTATATGATGCCTAGCAGATTTCTATGTAAGGCAGGTCTAGTTTCCTCATGCCATAAATCAGAAACTTGAGTGGCGAAGCAACCTATTCAAGGTTATAGAGTTTATAATTCAAGTCTATCTGAATCTCTTATCTATATTATTTAGGAAGTAGAACCACTTTATTTCTAAAATTATTTAATTCTATGGTCTATACTCAGTAGCTATACTGCCCTCCACATTCTGTTTGGCATTAAAAATAGCTGTTGAAATGAGGCTAAAAATCACACTTAATCTCTAGGTATTACCTGAGTCAATATTCGGCAATTCTCAAAGTACTGACATTATTTATTTCAAATTCTGCATTCAGATTTCATAGCTAATGCCCAATAAATATTTGGTGAATGAACAAATTAATAAAAACTATTCTTTGGCCAGCATTCAATTGCAATAAGACTTTTCCTTTCAATAAAAAAAGTATTTCTTCTTCCACTTGAATCTGCATAAAACACTTCCTTCTTCGAATAAGTGATTGGATATGCCTCAGTTCTGGGGTCAGTATTTGATTTGTTCTTCTGAACTCAGAATTATTTTGAGTTCAAAGGAATAGATTATATCAGCCTGATATATATTTCAGGTATAATAAACCCTAAGCACCTACTCAAATCTCATTGCAAATTATGATTTTAAAATATCTTCATTTGGTTTATTTCCAGATATTTAGAATATTTGCACAACACCTTCAAATGCGGAAGAGTGACTGAGCTGCAAACTAAGATACTAGTAGCTCATCTCATTTAGGACGTGGGAGTATCAAGTGATACAATCTAAGAAAAGCATTTTGCCCTGATCCCAAATCAGTGTTGAAACTTAATACAGTAACGGCTAATAACATTCCTTATTGCTGCTGGAGCTGTTAGTTTCACAGCAGAGGATAACTGATTTACTGTTGGCTGTTCACGCCTAATGTCTTAGCTCAAGTGACCTCCGTAGCACATCTTTATTTTTCAAGAGCAGAGGTCAAGGAGATTTCCACCTCATACTCGAGAAATGGTTATGCATTTTCCTTTTAAGCTTGGAACAAATCAAATAAATTTGTATGGAGACACTTTCAATATATAAGAAATATATAAAATGGCGCCTCTTCTAATTGAACCTATGAAGGCTACCAAAATCCTAGCCCACGCAGTGGCTTTTCCCCTTATTCACCATGGGTGTCCCTCCAACCTTGATGCTAATTTCTAATTCCCTAGGGGATAAAACTGTGACTGACTGGAGGTGCAAGAAGGATTAGTATTTAACATCTCAGGAGCTTTACCTGCAAATCCTTTGTTTTCTTTCTTTACTCTTTTGCATCCCCCATTCACTTTAGCATTTTATTGTCTTAAAATTGCTTGAGCCCTAATCCTGAAATACCAATATCCTGGGTTTAACAACATTCATTGGTATAGAATTGCTACAAATACACAAAGATTTAAAGATTCTGAAATTCTAGAGCATTGGATATTAGCTAAAAATGCACATTTTCCTTCCATTTGCTCTTCTTCCACCTCACCGCAAACATGCAATTTTTCAGTGGGAGCCATTTTTTTTCCTTTTTCCCTCACCTTTGCTCCATCCTAAAATGTTGTTATGTACCCCAAGGTCCTTACCTTCCTCCAAGCCAAAACAAGTTAGGTACTTGACTTCACTGTACTGCTCAGTAAATAAGTGGCCTGCTCAATTTCCTTTTGTAGAACCTTCAACTAAAATGCACAAATTTAGATACCTGTAGAGTGAAATTTATGGACTTATCGCCAATTCCATCTTAGCATTCTGGACATTTCTCTGAACCCAAGTTCTATTTTATTTTTATATTCCAACAGTTTAAGGTTGATTTCTGACTCAGTTAAAAACTCTGAATTCTTGGGGCTGGAGAGATGGCTCAGTAGTTAAGGGCACTGACTGCTCTTGCAGAGGACCTGGGTTCGATTCCCAGCACCTACATGGTGGCTACGAACTGTCCTTAACTCCAGTTCCAGGGGAATCTGAAGCCTTCTTATGAAGTCCACAGCATTGCATGACACGAGTGCACTAATATACATACAGGCAATACACTCATACATGTAAAATAAAAATAAATAAAATGTTTATAAAAAAACAAAACTGAATTCTCTGACTTTTGGGTTGGCATGATAAAATGGTCAACACTGCCAGTTTGATTTTTATACCAGCTATTTAATTCCATAGACCCTTACTATCTCTCCATTCTCATGTTATTGACGGCAGAGTGCTGTAAGAAGAACAATTGTTTATCATGGGAATTTTTTTTAGTAAAAAACCTCAGTTCCTCAGATCGTACAAAGAAATGATATATTAGTAGGACTCACAGGAAAATCAAGATCATCCAGTTTAACCTCATTGCAGATGAGAAATCTGAAGTCCAAAGCGTGGGTAGGATATGCCATATATGAAACGGTTCAGTAAGAAAGGCCTCCTAACTCTGAAGTAGAGATCTTTCTGTTAACCTACAGTATGGTTAAAGAATATTAAATCAGCAGATTGCTCAACCAGGGGGCCTCATCAACTGCTGTATGATTAATAGTACTACTGGGCTCTTGGCTTCACCTTAGCTGCTCTATCAGCCGTCTCTCCTCGACATGGCCAAGTTCATAATTCTCAAATGGAAACACTGGCGTCTAGCTTGAAGGGTCTAGAAAGAAAGGAACAACTCATGATTTCTCTCTTTTTCTCACAAGTTCTGTTTAATTATCAACATCCTTCATCAGATTTTACAGTTTCCTTCTAAGAGCTAATGTCAAACAATGACTCTAAATAGTTGCCAGGGCAGCAACAGGGTAGGACCAATAGTTGAGATAAATCAATTTGATTTCAGCATGGAAATGAACTACAGAAAAGAAGGGCAAGAAATTGAGGCTAAGAGAAATTTCACGGACTGCATAAAAAGAAAAAAGGAAGAGGGCTCAATAAGGTCCAAGAGGAACCTGGTAGGAAGGAGTGAGGTAGCCGGAGGGGTAGGTACCATTCTCTCTTAATGTTTTACAAGTTTAAAGGTGGAGCTAATGAGGTCACACTCAGGAACACAATCCCCATTTCAAATGGTTACCTTTATAGTGACTCTTACTTTTCTATTGCTGCTGGTAGAGATCCCTTTCTATCATTTATTGAGGTCTTACTCT